GAGATGAAACCTCGGATACAAATGAACCGATATCTACCTCCACCCACGTTTACAACGCCGGGTGTTTTGACAGGAAGCTCTGAAGTCGAACGCCACAATGGGAAAATTGAACATTTAGCTGACATGTTAGAGGAATCTGTGAACAGAATGATATCATGTTTAAAATTCCATTTAATTTGGGCCTGCCGAGACGGGTTGTGTATTTAGCGCCCCCAAACGTCTGCGCCAGGGTGGCGGGCCGTCCGGACGGATAGCGAGTAGGGCTGAGTTCTAATGTTTTCCCGTGTCTGATAAGAATACCACATAAAATGTCAACCTTGTGTTTTGAAAATCCATTTGTTGAATGCTCATTATTTTCTATTTTTAAAAACATTTCAGTCATACACAAGTCAGCGCTCTGGAAGAGACTTTGAGGTTGTAATTTAATTCTGAAAGACGCTGAGTTGACAGTTACTCTGATCTTTGATCACATATTCTTCAAACTTTGCGATGATTCTTTTTTGGCGTTGAGCAGTAATCGCTGACAGTTGGGTTTAAAAATGCGTCAGGCTCAGGGACTGAAATGGGCTATTATTCAAGATTTCAAAAGGCTTTTTTTCTGGCCAGAGTATACGTTGACAAGGTTAAAGTAAATTTGTGAATTTCTGTGGGAAAAGTTTGAGTCGTGCGTCATGATAATATTGGAGCAAGGTTTTTCTCTCTTGAAACTTTGTTCTCTTGAAACATCTCATGCCATTCACTTTAATGCAGAGTTTTGTCGAGCACCTAAAGGTGTGTCGCTGCAGCATTCATCGCTCCAACTTTGGCACGTGGCCCACGGCAGCGGAGACTGGAAGGAGGCGAACAGGTAGAACAAACCATAGGACACAATGACGTTGTAGTATATTGAGATCAGGCCGCTTGCAAAGTTCATTCCAACGCCGACACCTGCAGATAGAGCAGAGTGCTCAGTATGCATTGCGGATGCCGACCTAACATGCACATATGATTGTTGTAAAATGCGCTACCACATGCGAACTGAATCATCCATCAGTCATCGCAAATACTTGATCCATCTTTTTTTTTTCTTTTCTTCAGGGTGCCCAAGGTCAGGCCAGGGTTCTAATAATACTCGAGCGATTGGCTCACCCTGAAGTAGGGGCACGGCTCTCCATACGTTGACCGGACCTTGACTGGAGAACTGACCGATGGCGCTTTCCAGGAAGTAAAGAGGAATCCCGAACAAAACCAATATAATGAAATAGGCAATGACAAAGGCACCTGAGCAAAGGAAGGAAACAAATATCATCGACCCAATTGTAACCCGCGCGCACATCAATGTCATTCAACGTATTTGTGATGTGGACTTTTTTTTTTTTTTTTACCCCCGCCGTGTTTGTAGGTTAAATATGGAAATCGCCATATATTCCCCAGACCGATGGCGTAACCAGTCAGAGAGAGCATGTACTCCGTCTTGTTGGTCCAGTTACCACGCTCTGGATTCTCATCACCGGCATCAACCGTAGGAGGATCCTGTACAGAGATATTGGTCATATTGCCTCTTGTTACGAAAGAAATTTCAAGATATGAAAGGTAAAAATACAGTATGGGCCGCTAGTCGCAGCTCCGAGTTTCCTGAACGCAACATATTTATAGCTGCTCTGCCGTTGGCTATTACCTCGCATCTTCCTGGCATCCCATTGGCTAAGAGGGATCTCTACTTCCGGACGTGTCTAATTAGGGCATTTACATGGAAAATGCGTCTCCACTTACAAAATTTTCCGAGTTAAGAAATTTGTTCCAGAGCCAAATAATTTCGCAAATAGAGATACCACTGTATAGCCTCCCGTCACGCCAAAACGTTGTCAAAGCCCAGGAGACGTTTACTCTTATCAGGTGTAATTTGTGATCCACACTCGAAAACACGAAGGAGAGTGGCCCTCGAAAATTTGGACAGCCCTGCTCGCTACTGTTTGCATTTCCCCCCGCGGGGCTTCCTCTATATGGCACTGTTACCTTGAGCAAATATTTGTCAATTATGAAATGAAACCCTTCAAGGGCTGACACGCTCCCTTGTTTTGAAAGCTTCGTCCGAAATAGTTTTCCCACCGAATAACTAATATGGACACTGAGCCGTATCAATTCCGCCTCCACAATCCAGTGGAATCCAACAAAAGAGATGCATCAAGAATTCTACCTTTGCACAGCTAATCATGCCATTTTTGATTTCGATCGCTATCGAGGTATTTGTTTTACAATTTGTTATATTATTGTGGTTGTAGTTCGCAGTGATAACGAAGCACATAGAGTTGAATTATTTAAACAAATGAGCAATTTGAATGATTAAGTGTATCAAAGGTGGATTACTAATGAGCAACGTTTGCTCTGTTCCGTTTGCTTTAGGAACTTTTGGGGAAAACGTTACTAGAATGAGTTAATGCAATGTACTTATTTTGAAGAAGAAGAAGAAACACTACCTTTTTTTTCCGTTACTTTGGGGTCCATTCCGCTCACTACCTGAAGAGTATTTTTAATCTAAATGTATTACTGCTTTTGCAATCTACCTTGGTTTGTCAGAGACACTTGTTATTTGTTTCACCAACTCTTGGTGACATTTGACTCCATTTGACCAATCAATCAAACATGGTTCATTGCTGATGCTATTATTACACATAGCACCAAATGAGAAATACATATTCCGACATTGAACGATTTTAAAAGAACTTTCCAACCCACCTGATCAGTTAGAATGGGTGCATCTTTGGGAGGGTTGATGCCATATTTCCACATGTTGTCGGATCGGGCTGCTTCCAGTTGGTGACAAGTCAAAGTGATCCAAAAGTTTTTGTCAATTCACTGTGATCCACCACCAGCCAAAAAATTCATTTTCATGATCCTGGCATACTTAAACGATCCAACTAATTTAGCCTCTTCTCATCCTGTTCCTGTCTGGTGCTTTCAAGTCAGGTGAGTCTCAGCTCACAGGAGCTCCAGAGCTGAAAAGCAGCCTTTTTTTTTTAGTTTACCCAAAGCAAACAGTAACCTGCTAGTCCTTAGGCTTGGTTTCTTCTCCAGCTGTCAAATTTGTGCTGTTTGTCTCTGGCGTGTGTGGAACTCGTGCCGTGTTGTCCTGTTCTAGCCTCATATATCACCATCAAGCCGTCTCGAAAGTCTGTTTTAGCAGAGCTAAAGTTTGATGAGAGGATATTTAGGATCGTATGACTGCCAAAATGAAACGCGGCTTATATCACATAAGTGTCAGTACAATTATTGTTGTTGCATTAAGGACGAGTTGAAATATATCTCGTATAAATATATGAGCACATAAAACAATATCTAAATACATAAAACAAACTTCGACCAAATACATATCTAACTTTGTCCTTTTTTTCTACTACAGACGAGACGCCAAACGTCATCAGAGCCAATGATCACGTATAATAAATTCATAAATCATCCACACCCACGAACGGCCCGGGCCCTCTTCGCTCCTTTCACAAATTCTGGGGATAGCCGTCATTACACAATGAGCAACAGTTTTTTATTTCCTAACTAGTACGACATGAACATTTGTTTCCGGAGCCCACTCTCCGATAAGTTAAGGAAAATGTTGACAGGGAAGTGAATTGGGAAATACATTTAGTGATTTGCCCACTCATTTGCTGTTCCAAGCGATTGCCTGTGAATGCTTGGAGTCAATGTATGCAGTTTAACAATCGGCCTCTAGATGTCACTATGAGCCCAACCATAATCTTTTTTTTTTTTTTTTTCTTAAATCCAACCTTAGTCCCATGTACTGGTTCAGGTTTGCCAGTTGCCTGTTATGAGTGTGAAACGATCCACAATCAATGTTATTTTCACAGATACACAACAGAATAATGGATAATTCATTTTGAAATCAGAAGCCGAGGAAAAGATTTTGTTCAGCTGTTTCTCATTTATTTTAAACAGTGGTTTGATCACCCAAAAATGTGTTGAATATATCCCGTTATTAAAAAATGAAGATCACCGACCATCTATGTAGACGAAACCAATGATCTCCAAAATGAGCATTACCCAACTTGCGACAAACTGGTCAACAAGAGTCACACAATATATTCGGGCCTGGACACAAACTGGGAAATGGAGCAGGTGTACACTTGCACGGCAGTGAGAAATGCGTTCAGAAGACGTACCTGTGTGACGCAGGGTAGACCAAGGAGGTAGATAAACACACTGATTTAAATGGTCAACGTGGTATGTTTGGAAGTGAGGGTATGAGGGAAGGAGTCGATCAGGCATGTGGTGATCACCTCTCAGTTGAAGAAAAAAATACAGCGTTTAGGATCGGTATGTGGATTTCCTGACAGAATGCTACTGCTATCCTAGTACTGCATTGCACAACAAGGGTACATCAGCACAACCAAACCGTAATCAATACAAGAGCTCTATCCAAAATTCAAACTTAAGTGACCTCTTAACAAGGCGATGTCATGCTGTGTTTATCAATGTGAGTTTAGTTGACGTAGCACCGCATCTCCTCTCATCTGGCAAAGTGATACCTCACCTCCTGCTCCAAAGTGGGAGTCCAGACCAACCGTCAGCAGCATGAAAATGAAGAAAAAGGACCAGAGAGGAGAAATGGGCAGTTTAGGGTATTTGATGAACGCCAGGCCAAAACCTGCCTCGCAACATAAAAACACAATTTTAGTCAACACCTACAATAAAAGCTTCCCACACTTTGTACTTAGAGGTCATAATGTGTGACTCACCTTCCTTCACTACCTTTGTATCGACGTCCCCAAAACAATGTTCATCGTGGTCCAACCAGCATTAGTGAGTGTCACAGTGAAGGAATCCTTCAACGCGTTGTTGTGGAATTTGCTATCGGAAGCAAGTGTCATGACTCCACCCCAACCGATAGACAGCAAGAAAAAGGTCTTGCTGTCTATCGCAGAGTCGCAGCATCTTTCCACACCTAAAATTTTGCGGCATGATAGAGCACCTTGATGTTTGATGGATGACCAGACAAGACACAGAGATACGTCGAATGTTTGCGTTTAATTCATGCACAAAGTTAAAGGAAAGAAAAAGATGACAACCATCTTTTAACGCCGCACGTGAGAGTGCACTTGTACAAAATCAAGTAATGTCACTTTAGGAAAGATCATCTTGAATGCAACTCCAGCATGTACCTTCAAAGTCAACATGTGCTGAACGAAGGAAGAGTTCTGTCAAACTTGTCGTACACTACATCTGATTCGACATTTTCAAATAAATTGTGGTACAAGAAAAAAAGAGTAAGGGAAAAAATGACCTGCTATATATCATTTGTAAGAGTCCCTAAAAAAACTAAGATGATATTTTTCTTGAAGTAAATGTTTTTTGTTGAACACAGAAACATTCAACATCAAATCAAAAGACAAAAAAAACCCCAAAAGGCTGTTGTTGATGTCAAATAATCCTGCAGCGGTAGCAATTTATTACAACAAAGTTCATGACTGAGGTGGCGTTATGAAAAGGTCGAGTACACAATTTAAACGTCAATGCTGGAGGCCAAACGGAGGCAGAGCGACGAATTCGATGGGATGTCCTGCTGACTCAGCTCATTCCCATCCAGACGTAGAGTTTGCAACTTGGAGAAGTTGGTAACGTCCACAATGCGGCAGAAACTCCCCAATGTGAACTCTGCAACGGCGGAACACAAAAAGCTGTGTAAAAACATGCCCACAACCGTTGCAGTTCACATCCTGCCTTCAGTGGTGACTCTGTCTTAGTTTGCCATTCAAACAGTCTCGTGGGAGCGGCTGGCATATTTCTTTTATTTTCACTTTTGCCACATGAACTCTGCTGAAAAAGCCTGCCGCTTTTTACCTTTTATGCGATTGGCTTGGAGGTAGAGATGCTGCAGAGCGGAGCTGACCAGAGGGATTCTCTCCAGGTGGTTGAAGCTCAGGTCCAGTTCCACCAGGCCTGTCGCATTAAAGATGTTGGACGGCAGGCCCTTGTCTGTGAGCTGGTTGTGGGCCATCCGAAGGTACTGCAGCTGTGTCAAAGTGGCCAAGAACGCCTCAGGCAGAGAAGCGATGGAGTTGGAGTCCAAGTAGAGTTGGTGCAATCGTTCGGGGAGAGCCTCTGGCACCTTGGGTGGAGGGGGGTGGGGTGACAGTAGGGGGGGGCGAGTGGAGATTTGAAGTAGACACCGGCTCTTATTTTGTCCGTCAAAAGTCAAACACACCCACGCTCACCTTTGACAACTTGTTGCCGCTGACGTCCAACAGCGTGAGGGATGTCAGGGACTTTAGTGATGCACCCATGTCGGTGATAGCGTTGTCATGGAGATGCAGGATTGTGAGGTTATCCATTCCCTCGAGGTCTGAAGGTGTTACCTAGGCAACAAGTATATTAGGTCTTTGAGTGATCAACGGCAAAAACAAACATCGATCCATCCATCCATCCATTTTCTGTTCCGCTTTATCCTCAGAAGGGTCGCGGGGGGTGCTGGAGCCTATCCCAGCTGTCTTCGGGCAGTAGGTGAGGGACACCCTGAACCGGTTGCCAGCCAATCGCAGGGCACAAAAAGACAAACAACCAACTCACACCGAGGGACAATTTCGAGTGTTCAATCAGCCTGCGATGGATGTTTTTGGAATGTGGGAGGAAACCGGAGTACCCGGAGAAAACCCACGCAGGCACGGGGAGAACATGCAAACTCCACACAGGAAGGCCGCAGCTGGAACCAAACCCGGTACCTCTGCACTGCGAGGTCGACGCGCTAACCACTCGACCAACACAAACAAAAAGCACCAACTGAAAGAAGGCTGCACGTCGACGACAAGGCAGAGACATTACATTTGGTCAATTGGGGCATCCGCTTCTGAGGTGTCGGCGCCTAGCTAGCTCACGGCACTCTGTAGTTTGTAGAAATGGGTCAAGGACTTATGACCTCACAATTGCTGGGAAAATGCTGGTGAGAACAAAGGCGCTCAGTTTGGAGGGGATTCATGACAGGAAAACCAAAATGGTGAAAAACGGCTTTAGGCTGTGTCATAAAACGGAGTACAACAGTGAAATCTAACAGTACATCTCGATAAAAAGAAAGGAGTTAACATAACTAAAACCTGTGAAACAGAATCACCGGATCCCCCAAATTAATGTGAGTCAATAATTAAGTTTTATGATTTCACTCATGTTTTGTCGTATTATAAGTGGGCCTTCTTTATAGTTCCCATTTTTCGCGACGAGCCGTTTTACAGGTCCAACTGGGATTTTAACATCTTGCTTTGGGGCACTTTGACGCGATCACGTTAAGTTTGAGTGAACTTCATAACTCAAGTCACTTGTGTTACTTAAACACTAAATATTGTCGAGAAATATTTTAGTTTTATATTTCCTTCGTGTGAGTTATTGTATTAAACTTAAGTTTGCAATCAGTTTCCTCAAACCGTTTGAGTTAAACAAACTCATCAGGCTTTACAGTGTGAATAGTTCCCACTTTTTGCACGTTTCCAGCAATTATCTTCAAACATATGAAGTGTGTCGAGTGAAAAAATAAACAAAAAATTGGAATTTCCAATGAAGTGAGTTACCTTATCTATGTTGTTGTGGTTGATCCTCAGGTCCCGAAGGGTGCGAGGGAGGTTACGAGGGATGCTGGTCAAATTGTTGTGTTGTAAATAAAAACGCTCCAGTCGTTCCAACTGCGAAAAGGCCTAAAAAAACAACGTGGTCGTCTCGGTAAAGTTGCGCAAGAATCACACTCACAATGTTTCAGTGTCCACTTTGCTTTTCTTTCTAAATTAAAAAATGTCACTGCAATTCGCACATGACTATTTGACCTTCTTTCTTCAGACAGCAAATTCAAAATAAACACATTAAAATGAGCCCCGCAACGTAACGTACGTAAACTAAAGTTTCAGTGGGTTTTCGTTTTTTTTTGCAAAAAAATGTTTTTCAATTTTAGTTTGAGTTATTCCAGTAGTTTTTCATTCAAAACCTCGGTCCTTGTAACTGATAAATTTACCTTCTCGCCGATGCCATCCGACGTGAGCCGGTTGTGGTGCATCATAAGCCACACCAGATTGGTCGCGTTGACCAGAGCTGAGTCGGATATGGCTGAGATGGCGTTGTTTTGGAGGTACAAGTACTTCATCCGGGAGGGGACGCTGGGCATGACGGTCAGGCCCCGCGCATCACAATACATGGCGATGGAAAAGGTCGGAGGACAGTCGCACTCAGGTGGGCACTCGCCTCCCGCGTTGTCCGTTTGGATGGCACTCCGGCGGCTGTACAGCCAGGCGAAAGGATCTTGTTCATGGGAGGGACAGAGTGGAAGCAGGGCAGACAAGAGGATGATCACCGCACGCATTGCGGCACTCGCGCAAAATTCCTCCTTAACCTGAATAGGTGACAAAAAAACAGCACGTTTCAATAGTAAAGCGCTGCCGGAAGCCTTTCCTTGCTTTAGAAGTTAGCTGCAAATGTGCAACTCCAGTATTTGTGCACTGATGTTGAATAAACACTCAGATACAAAAAAAAGCGCAGGCGTCGGCATAGTTTTGGAATGGGATTGCCTGCGGGGAGCAACATTCTTACAAGTCTTAATCCACGGGGAACTCAAGAAGTTTAATTACAAAAAAAAATGCCAGAGAGAGAGAAATGGAAACCGGGTTACAATGCCGCCTTTGTAGGTAGACCTCAAAAGTGGTCCAAATTTTCAGTGGAGTCTCCGTTAAATCAACTGGATGTCTGAGGAGCAAACAATCATGCTAGTATATGATCAGATCTGCACTTACCTGCAGAGCTCCTATTAGGCCTCATGCCGTTCTGATTGCCCAAAAACATACATTGAACGACACATTCCTACAAATGCATGCCGCCCCCCCCCCACAAAAATACACACACACACACACACACACATACATACGGGGACAGAGTTCCACACTTTACCTGTTTAGCGATACAGGCCCTTCCCTGTGTCTGAGTGGTCCCAAGACTGGAGGGCACACGCACCCACCAACAATAACAAAAAAAAAAAAGAGATGTTAAGGTCTCCACCCCTTTTACCTCATTCACTGCACTGGTTTCTTCCACTCCACCATCCACCCTCCTGCACCCCTTTTTCGACACAAAACTCCCCAAAACATCTTTTTTGTTTTGTTTTGTTTAAATCATCGAGCTTCTGTCTACCATTATGCAAATACATAAAGAGCCACTTTGACTCATATTTGTTTTTTGCATACAGACTGCTGATTTTTGTTACTAATAGGCTAAAGGGGGGGTCGTCAGTTTGGGACATGTGGCACACAGTGAACTAAATTGTGGCATTCACTGATTGGATTGTTGCATATTGATGGCACAGAAGTGTTTTTAAGGCAAATACTGAATGGAATTATGACTTCTCTCTCGTTCGTGCAGCGTATGATGTCATTACGTGTCCTTCTCATAGCCACTAGGGGGCAGATTGGCATGGAATGATTGCCACGAATAAACCAGTGACAAGCAATCAAACAGAACCAAGACTTGTTCTGTTAGCAGTCCGCTGAGCAAACCTTCACAGATGTTGCCGAAATTCCTTCTCCTAGCAGTTGTTTTAAGGGTTAAATGAACACACGTTTGAGCTTGCCCACATGTTGGCTGTCTGGACTTAATGCGGGTCACTTCCTGCCTCTCTCATAACATCTGACTTAAGTGTCCACCCTCTTTCTTTTCGTCCTTTCACGAAAAGAATGTTACTTTGGCTGTCACCGTTTGCTGAATCTCACACCGTAATACAAAGTACACAAATGCAAATGAGCTGTTAATTTATTCAACATGTTTGCACTGGAAAGTCTGACCCCAAATTTTAGAGCTGGAACTTGGAAAGTATCTTTGCTTCCTTGGCTTGCCTGGTTTGTTTATTGCTCAATGCTTTGTTGTTGTTTTGTTTTTCCACCACAGGTACACACACAATTAATTGCCATATAATAGTCGTTAGGAAAGGTTAATTATGCACGTACCTTTGCCTAATAATGCTCCAATTCAAATTCAATGAAAATCCACACAAAATATTTATGATTAGGAGTAGTACGGGTGGCACAATGGTCGACTGGTTAGCACGTCCGCCTCACAGCGCAGAGGTGCAGAGTTCGATTCCGGCTCCCACCTTCCTGTGTGGAGTTTGCATGTTCTCCCCGTGCCTGTGTGGGTTTTCTCCGGGTACTCCGTTTTCCTCCCATATTCCAAAAACATGCATGGCAGGTTAATGGAACACTCTAAGTTGTCCCTCGACGTGAGTGTGAGCACGGATGGTTATTTGTCTATGTCTGCCTTGGCAACCAATTCACGGCGTTACCCGTTGACTGCCCGAAGCCAGCTGGGATAGGCTACAGCACGCCCGTGACCCTCACGAGGGTCATGTGCAAAAAAAAAAAAATCTCTGGCTCTGATTGTCCGTCTCCTCTGTTTTCAACCCAATCAGTGGAGGCCGAGGGCCACCCCGCACCATCAACTTGATCTTTTCTTACTCAGAGTGAGTTTTTCCTTCATGTGGAAGTAACTTTGCGTGCGCATCATGGGATTTACATTTGTATATGAGCGCAAACAAACTGCCCCTGAGGAACCGCAAATCCTCGCCACTTCCTCAATTAACAGAAAAGAAAAAAAAAAAAAACGAAGTCAGGATTATTGCAAGAGGCACATTATTGATGATTATGGATATGTGAAATGAAATGATGATTTAAAGAAAAAAAATATCTGTCCTTTTAAAAGTAATTTGAACCAGCAGGCGGGCCGGAGTGCAGGAAACAACATAAAGTACACAATGAAAAGCAGATGTCAGCAAAACACAAATGGAATGGACATGACGTCACACCGGGGTTTTCACACATATTGAAGGAGGTTTAAACGGATGCCATTGTTCTCATTGTAAGTATGAAGAATATACACCAAATATTTTGACATGTTCGGGAAGATCACGCTATAGATCAGTTCTGTCCAGCTTTTGTCCTCAAGGGCCGCTGTCCTGCCTGTTTTCTTCCATCTCATCGAATTCAAACGACCAGCGAGCATTGCACAAGCCTGACGATCCTGATCATTTTAATAACTCCACAATTCCTCGATTTAAGTCCTACAAAAGAAAAAAAAAGAACAATTATCACGCCTAGATTTATAACGTTTTTATTTTTCTCCTTTTCTTAATGGCGGAGTTTTACCAAGGCTCGATGTATATGTTCCAGATTAAAAAAGGAACACTGCCCCCTACTGTGAATGCTGAGAAGTGCTGTTGACAAGAGGGCCAGATGGTTGTTGGCAGGTTCAAAAGTGAAAAAATGATGGTAACATCTGAGGGGAAGCACAATGTAAAATGTGGTTATTATGAAATTCTGTATACCTATAAAGTAATATTATGTGAACATACCTTATATTGTTTGTTATATATTGTTATAAAAAAAACTTTATATGACAGTACTCAATTGAGGATTCATGAACTCATCTGCCCTAGGCTCGGATTACTGGAGAAGTGCTGATTTCTGTTTTTTGGCACAATGAACAAAATATTACACAATGTACTTCGATAGAAATTTGTTGAATATTACGTGTAAAGAGTTTCGTTAAAGATGTTGCAATCAGTCAGCAAATAACATAAACTTTAACGCAGAATTTCCAAGCGTGTTGATTGACTTGGAGTGACAGTTGCAAAACAACACTTTGAAACTGACTCACTTTGCTGTTGAATTAAGGCAATTAAATGTGACCTTTCTAAATGTCAGACACAAAAGACAAATAAAGACCCACACATGTTAATACGAAATAACCTGAGGGCACCGAAAATGCGAGCAAACAAACAAAGCAGCCCATCACACCTGTGCCCCAACTCAAAGTTACATTCGAAATTTCCTCACGCTTTATTTCTTTTTGTTATTGTAGTTCATGTGCTTTTTGTCATATTGGATCAAGTTTACATTGATGGCCGAATGAAAAACGGAACCAGAAAGTTGCTCTCCATGTCTTCATATGGCCTCCATTGTTTGCTCAATTGAGAAGTTCGCATATCCATCCATCCATCCATTTTCAGATCCTCACAATGGTCGCGGGGGGCGTGCTGGAGCCGATCCCAACTGTCTTCGAGCAGCATGCGGGGTATCCCCTGAACTGGTTGCCAGCCAGTCGAAGGGCACACATCGACAAACAACCACACTCACACCTGAGGACAACTTAGAGTGTTCCATTAACCTGCCATGCATGTTTTTGGAATGTGGAAGGAAACCTGGAGTACCCGGAGAAAACCCACCCAAGGACAGGATCGTATTTGTACCATGACCTCTGCACTGAAACTATATATATATTAGTGATTAATATTCCCCATAACACTGCACTTCTACACCACTGCAAACATATTGTTCATACCTCTCTCTGACAGATTGTGATTGTCTAAGGATAGCTGCCATATCAATGCTGCCTCGACATTTAACAATCTTTAAACGTAACAGAGCATGTGATTTATGATTGTATGATTGGACAGGAGAGTGCGCACTTGCAATATTTCCTTTTGTTCCCCAACTTTTCACCACGATCTCCCTTCGTTTCGGGAGAAAAGCCTGGAATCATTTTGCTCCCCTCTGTGATGTGGGAAAGCAGGCCCATAGACGCAAACACACACACACACACCCACACACACTCACACAGAATGGTCTCTTTGGATCCCCAGGTACTCTGCGGAAGGCCTAAAGGCAACACACATGCGCACGCCTGCACGCACCCCCCCCCCCACACACACACACACACACATACTAAAGTTGCGGTGAAATGCACACACATGCATTTGCACCTGGCCATGTGCATGTGGATCTCCATGTTAGAAGCGACATGTTTACTCCAAATGTTACTGCCTTGGTAGTTAGTGAGGGGAGAGCATGGAGGAAGTCTGGGATGGCGCCAGTGTTTGAGGAAGAGGAATGTATCAGAGAGAGCAAGTAAACATAGCATGAACATTCTCCCTCTTTGACACACAGGCAAAAGTCTTCAGTGCCCCTGCAGGATGCCGAACGCTTCATTTGGGAAATTCATCAACATTGCTCCTGAACCCAAAGGTAAATTTACGGTCTTCTTCCCATGTCCATCTGTGCTCTATACAGAACGTGCACATTGAAACTGTGCCAATCTAAGCGGCGTCTGCTTACATTTGCCAGAGCGTCATGAAGTGGAATGACTCAACAACATTTTCCTCTTTGCTCGACTTTTGGCTTGCGCTGTGCTTTTACATTGTGGGAGTGTCACTTGCACAACTTGACACTCCACACGTGCTTATGCAGACAAACCTCCCGATGATGCAAACCTCTCTAACGTTTTGTTTTGAAAAGTTTACCTGAGAGAGGCTCTCCCTGCATTTCTGTGTAAATGCTGCATTAGAAACATGGGAGTACTGAAATAAAATAAACCCACGCACCTATATATATATATATATATATATATATAGAGAGAGAGAGAGAGAGAGAGAGAGAGAGAGAGAGAGAGAATTTTACATTGGCAAGAACATTTAATGGTTATTTCGAATACTCAAAAGCGCACTTAAGCACCTTTGAATACCCATTGAGATATCAATTCCTCCACCGTGTGCAAATAATTCAAAGCCAGAATTTGATTGGTTAGTTAGTTAGTGTTTCAATGGAGAACCCCCCCCCCATATGTATATTTAAAAAAAATCTACAAATTGTGGTGTTGAAAGTGGTGGTGTTGGGGAAAAAGGGAGAAACAATCAAAATTTGGTGGACTGTTATTTTTCACTGTTGCGCAATGGCACCTGAAACGGTGGCTCGACAGAATCAGCACATTAGTAATGTGCATTAGCACCATCTACAGGACCGGAGTGGAACAGTATCGTGCCAATGCAGGCCATGCTGAAATTGTTCCATGAGACCAGTCAGGCCGATGTTTTTGGGTAGTTTGATTTGGCCTTGGAGGTCTATCGAGTTTTTTTTTTCTTTTCTTTTTTCTTTTTTTTTTAAACTTTGTTTTGTATTCAGTGTATTCCGTGTGGCTGACAACGTCAATACCAATGCAAGTGGGACATTTGCATGAACCACCGCAAAATTGTTTGTGTCATGCTTTAAATAACGACAACTACGCAAAATGATCTGTAAGAGGCATGCAGCCATATGACAAACTCGGAATCGGAATTGCAATCCAACAAAGCAATGCTTTACTTCCCATGCAGGCTTACGCCGATGCCAGCAAGTCGGCATGGGTGCGCTGTACTGTTTGCCGGTGCTCTCATGTATTTTTGCGGTGGCTTCTTCAACCACTTTGGCTGACATGGACTATGGCGGCGTTCCCTTGTGGATCGACCGCTTGCTGGGCGAGCCCAGCGTGCTGAGCCTGCGGGGACGCTTAGACGCAGCTTGGTACCGAGCCACCAACCCTCAGGCCTGCCCGCAACGGTGTGACTGCCCCATTCAGTGGCCCACGGCGCTGTATTGTGACCAGAGAAGCCTGGAAGATCTCCCGGAGCTTCTCCCGGCCCGAACGCAGTACCTTTTCCTGCAGGTAGGAAAATCCTTGCAAAGATCATCTTCTATTTTATATTTCCGTCCATCATATTTCCATGACCTCCTCTACAGAGAAACAACATCTCCTCCCTCACCGCCTCGTTTCTGGCAAACATCACCGGACTACACTGGCTCATTCTGGACCACAACCTTTTGAAAAATGACCAGCTGGACCAGGGCATCCTAAGAAACCAGAGCCAACTGGTTTATCTTTTCGCCAACCACAACCAGCTGAGCTCAGTGCCCCGTAATCTGCCAGATGGTCTCAAGCAGCTCCGACTGGCCCATAACCAAATCAGCAGCATCGGGCCCGAGGCTCTCAAGAACCTGAAGCACTTGACCCTGCTGCTTCTGCAGGGAAACATATTGAAAACCATCAAAGAAGGGGAGCTCCGAGGTAGAAGCGTCTTCCTCATCCTTGTCGATTGATGTTTCTCGTATTTTGGTTCGCTTCAGACAACGGCAGGTTCAAAATATCAGAAACACCCCTTAGAATATGTTAGTGTGGTTCTGTTTGTGACCAACAGGTAGAGCCCTACAGTGCCACCTGTTGGTCACAAACAGAACCACCCTAACAGAATAAGGCAGTGCAATAATACACGGCTGAGCGTGTAAAAATGTCTTTCAGGTCTGGTTAATCTGAAGTTGTTGGACCTCAGCGAGAACGCCTTCTCATCGGTCCCCAGACATTTACCAACCTCTTTGCAGCAGCTCTATTTGTCCAACAACTCCCTGTCGGGGCTCGATGAGGACATTTTCCAGAGACTCGTCCACCTCAAGCACCTTCGCTTGAGCCACTCTTTCCTGAAAAGTGGCAACGTTCACCCACAGGCCTTCAACCTCTCGACCCTGGTGGAACTGGACTTGTCCTACAACAAATTGACGAGCATCCCCACGGTGCCCACCACCCTGCAGCACCTCTACCTGGAAGCCAATGAGATACAAGGTGAGGTGTAGGCATCTTGAAATACTGCCGGCAAGAACACTTGCACGCACAAAGTACAGCTTCGTTGATGTACTTTGCTCCTGTATTTGCTGTATTGTTGGCTTGCAGAGATATTTCTTCTGATGAAGACGAGGAGAGTTAGGGGAGGGAATGTTGTATGATGAAGGAAAAAGTAGCTTTGCAAAAGAAAAGGGAGTTTGGTATGAAAACATCTGTGATGGTTTTAGACTCGAGGAAATAGTGCCAGATGAGCGAGAAGCACATGCTGTTCTACTTTCTCTTCTCCTCATTCCTCTTTCTCAATCTGCTCTCCATCACTCCGAGCCGCTGCGGACTGGATTTCAAGTACAGTAACGAGTGATCACACAACGGAACCTTTTGTCACTGAGGTCATTTGGAGCACAAAGACTGCGGTGTGAAAAGTATCGGCTTGTGTCCTTAAGTGGGGCGGGCAAACCGACAAAAACACTTCCATGATGACACACACCTTGGTGGTTTGCTAACAACGCCGCCATTGGCGGCGCCGAAGCTGTCGATGTGGGCCGAGAGCCGCGCTCTGACTGAAAGCGCTGCGGTTTTCGCTGCCTCCGTTTTAACCACAGCACCTGTTGGTGTAGTAGAAAACCCAGACTGGGTGAGAGGAAACGTTGTCCGAGTTCTTCTAAAGAACACAGCATGGCATGAAACCAAAGGCTCTGTCACACTGTCACAATGCAGTTGATCATTTCCTAACAATGTGTTCACTTTAGAGTTCAACGTGACTAGTTTCTGCAGAGAAGTTGGACCTCTGACCTATTCGCGGCTGAAGACCCTGCGACTGGATGGCAACGAGGTGTCCTACCGGCATCTCCCCTCGGACTGGGTCTACTGTCTGAGAGTGATTCAAAGTATTTACATTTGAGCGTGAAGAACAGAAAAGGAAATAAACTCCTCCGTTCAGTCCTTAACCTGGCTCTGCAGCATGTTATTTTGGCCTCCTGTCCCGACACCAAGTGTGACATGCTGTCTTAAGTCTGTCTGAACGGAATCGAACACGTCGTGGTGTAATAGAGATCTCGATATTGGCACCGTGACATTTGAGGATGGCAAAACTCAGTAGCGCTCTCGGGGGAGACTGACTCATTCGGTTGGGCCAAAAGCCATGAGCGGCAGCGCAAAAGAGGTGAACGTCATCTGCAAATGCTGCCAACTGACTCGGGTATTCCTCACATCTCATCTCATAGGTGCGCAAAAACGGGAAGAACTCCACACAGGAAGGCCGGAGTTGGCATGGAACCTGGTACCTCTGCACCGTGAGGTCGACGTGCTAACCGCTCGCCGGCTAGGCCGCCTCCGTGCAACTCGATGAAATAAAATGGAATAAATTCAACAAAAAAAATAATTCAGTGTTCCGAATTGTACAACAAGGCGGCCCGGTGGTCCAGTGGTTAGCGCATCGACCTCACAGTGCAGAGGTACCGGGTTCAATTCCAGCTCCGGCCTCCCTGTGTGGAGTTTGCATGTCCTCCCGGGCCTGCGTGGGTTTTCTCCGGGTACTCCGGTTTCCTCCCACATTGTAAAAACATGCATGGCAGGCTGACTGAACCCTCCAAATTGTGCCTAGGTGTGGGTGTGAGCGCAGATGGCTGTTCGTCTCTGTGTGCCATGCGATTGGCTGGCAACCGGTTCAGGGTGTCCCCCGCCAACTGCCCGAAGACAGCTGGGATAGGCTCCAGCACCCCCCGCGACCCTTGTGAGGATAAGCGGATCGGAAAATGGATGAATGTATAATTGTACAACAAAATAAGCAACCTGTTCACAGGTTCTCTACTGCCTTGATTTGCTTTTTAGGTTTTCCCATTAGCACCTATTCCACACTCTTATTTCAAGACAGCCATTGTTGCAGCGTTTGTGATTACATCTACTACCGCAGTGATGGGGAAACACAGGCTTCTCATATAACTGCGTAAAGCTCTCTTAAAGTTTCCCAGAGTGTCATTACTTTTCAATGGTACCTGTATTGCATCACAAATGGTCCAGTAGTACATTCACCTGACGTCGGCACAGGCTGCGTGGGTTCACTTCCCACTCCGTGACAGTGTGAACAGGAAAAGATTTCAAGAAAAGGGATGGAAAACCGTGGTCTGTGTTGCAATCTGTGAGCCGAATCTCCAACATGAATCATCGAATGACTGAAGTGCTCGCCTCAGATGGAGGCAGAATATATATATTTTTTGACAATAGCTAACATGACACCAAGTGGAAGTTTACTCCTAGGTGACTAATTTGGATAAGGGTCATTCATGGCAGCAAAAAGAGAAAAAAAAAATCATATGTAATTAGTTATTCGCAATCAAGCCTGGCCAGTCCAGGGTGTTGTCTGCCTTTTCCTGGAAGTCTTCTGGGATAGGCTCCACCCGGATCAGGACCGGCGGAGCAGAAAATGGACGGACACATGGCATCAAGGCCTCTTTCAAAAAAAAAAAAATAAAAATTAAATATCGGATCTATGCCAATGCGACTGCAGTGTAGGTGGACCCATATGATACACTGATCAAAGTGTGCATCTTGAATGGTCTAATTATGTGCAGAGATGCACAGACTTTAAGGGAAAAATAGAGTTGCACCAAAGTTCAAATCAAACGCCATCAATATTTTCAATAGTACCGGTACATTTCTGATGATGTGATTACGTACCCTATAAACATAATGACCGGTTTCGTGTCTGCGTCTTACCGCAGCATGACTAAAAGTCACATCCGTATTTTCCAGGTGACACCATGTCCTCTAAAAAGCATTGCAAAGTGCTTGTGATGGTCTGAGCAGACTGTCGTGGTCTGGGGCCAAGTTCCGCATGAGGTACTCGTCTCATTCTGAACTGGATTTATCCTCTTGATTACATGACACCAAAGGATGTTGACGGAAACTCAACCACTGCAAAAAAAAAAAAAAGTTTATAGAAGAGTTACATGACTAGCGTTGCACTATGTGGCTGGCTATCGAGCCTTCCACATTAAAAGTACATCATGTCAGTTCCACTAAAACAAAGAAACAAATGTGAGCATTTCGATGTTAATAGGGCACTTCAGCTGGGAGGTGGTCCAACTTTTCACCCACAGGGTTATTTTTCTCTCCGTTTATGATGTTTTTATGCGTTATATCGGTAACCTGGAATGACCAGCTGACACCGTACAAATCCCCGGCTCCACCTTGAGTAAGCGATGGCTTCCGCTGTTAAATCCATCACACACTTCGCTCGGATAACAGAATGTAAGGGGGGGGAAAAAGTGAAAGGTGTGACTGATATTCTCTTCAGATAAGTACAAAAGGCCTACAAACAACAATAAAACCCGTTTCTTCCAAAGTCCCTCCCACAAAGACTCGTCATGGCAATGACCTATTCGGACTTTAAAAAACGTAATACCGCCGATACCTGCAGTCAAAACAATCCGCGAGCAGGGAAGCTCCTGTGGTGTCAGAACAGCAGCAAGAATCGATTGGTCGCTCAGGAGCCTCGTGTCTAACATACAAACACGTGTCAGTCAGCTTAGACTTGACCAGAAACTAAGACAAAGCTCTTTTGTTCACAAGCAGTTATATTAACACTGTTAATGTTTCCAGATGCTTCTTAGTCGCTCCTGGATATGGTTCTGGGAAACGGTGGCAAATTTTAGCGAGCTAAGCAACTTTCAATACTGTCGTGGTAATGTTACGTTTTATCGAGCGAAAGGAACACACAAAAAGTGACTGGCCACACCAAAAAAAAAAAAAAAAAATGCCTTAAAAATTTAGCAATTGAGTAGTAAGTTGAGTAGTTCAACCACCTAAAAGTTTCAAGTGTCCACTATATGCCCAACAAGAGAAAATCACATATGGCTGCAAAAAAAAAAAAAAAAAAAAACGTTTTCCATCAAAGCCAACTTTTCGGGTTTATTTGTCTACATTTAACTTGTGATCATGGATTCCAAATGTACTCTGTCAACATTTGTTCACAGTCTGCTATTCCTGTGGAACACCTTATTATTTTCACCTTACATAACTTTAAAAGTTAAAACAGATGGCAAGTTCGGAGACTAGTTGAACATTAGCAAGCAAGTGTTGACTTTTTATTTTTCCTCTGGAAGAAAGATTTTCTTGACTTTTAACATTCCTTCTCAAATCACCAACATTATTATTGGACTGTTTGCGTGTGTGTGTGTGTGTGTGTGTGTGTGTGTGTGTGTGTGTGTGTGTGTGTGTGTGTTAACTTCCGGTCATAAAATCAGGTAGCTTTTTTTCTCCCATGACTTGCACGGTTGTTGAAAATTTGAATCAACAGGGGATTTAAAGATTGAGCTTCTGATGGATTTTCCCTTCAGTAATGATTTCGACATAGAAACATGTTTAATAAGCCCGTCTACCGACTTACACCAGAAAAAAAAAGAAAATAAAGTTGGCTGATTGATCCACTCTTCACCCAGACGATTTTAGAGTTCAAGACGAGTTGAAATGTGTCCCTGGACTGTATGTATACAGGTAAGTATTCTCTCTTAGGGAATCATATTTGCGTTGTCCAATCTTTCCTTATAACCGAATTTCCTTATGTGGGAAACGACTATGATACATGTCCTTTACGAACATGCAAGTATGTTAACAAAGTACAAAATATATGGTCCCAAAACGGTTTTGGATCCAATGAGAGTAAATAGTGTTGCGGACACAGTTATTCCGTAATATCGAGCAGGACTTGCTTGAGTTTGCGCTACTGCGGGCTTCCGTATGGCTTCCGGGTTCCGCGTACTGGAACTTGCGTTGTTATGAATCGATCGTTAATGGAATGTCGTCGTTGAAATTTTAATCCATAGGTTTTTTTTTTTTCTGGATGAGGTGGGAATACTTTGTATTCCGTACATGTTAATTATTTATAAGAAAAAGAAACAATGGTAATGCTGACTCAGCAGTGCAATGAGCTTCACTGGTTCTGCTGGCCCATTATGATCATTCGGAGGTTTTAACGCGTTTTATGCACAATGTAGCATTCAATCACAGCTGGAACACATTCTAATTAGGATAAACAAGAAAAGTTTATGTCTCTACGGTGCTGATTATACAATTTCGGTGCCTAAAAGGCAACACACTTCTTTTTTTTTGAACTTCTGGTAGCCATTAAGTTTTGAACCGGCTTCAGAAACAGCATACTTGAAACAATGCGCCCAAGACACAAGTCACGGAATGCAAAAGCTTCACTCAATCATCTGCTGTGTTTTATGACAAGTCAACTGTCAGATTGTAGCGAGATTCAAAGTCTGTTTCGATGGAAGGTGACGAGTAGGAGAAGAAACCCGACAGACTGTTTTATCGGTGACTACTGAAAGATACTGAAGTGCGCCGTCAGATTCACCAACTGGATTACAAACACATGCAAACATTTTTTTTTGTCATCACTGTAGTCATTGGGTAGATTTAACATGCAAAACAGAAATCATCGTTAAAGGCAGATGAAGGCTTCTCTGTAATATAACAAAAGCCATCATCGACTAACTCAATAAATAAATAAATACCTGCTACTGGATTTAGCTCATTCGTGAGCTATAAAAATATCAGTACAATATCGCATGGGACAAATTCGCTGCTGCGGCAAGATAAATTGAGGAATTTATCATCATGTTCTTTGTTAATGCTGTCTTGCATTTGGGTCAGGTGGCCAAATCCGGAAAGTCGTGCTGTGGTGAAAAAAAAAATAATAAAATTGATGTGTATGTCAATTTGTCATTTCTGCTGCATACAGGCCTGGAGTAGAACAATGCCAAGATGCTATATTATGAAGATTTTTTTTTCGGCCTTGGTGGAATTCTATAGTATTCTATATCGCTTTTTAAAATTATTATTCTGTTGTATTTATTGTTGTCTTAACTACTGATAATGTTCAGGGTGACAGGGAAGCAGTAGCCTATCCCAGCTCACTTTGATGGAGCGACAAAGAGAAAAT